ATGGGACCTCATGTGTCAAGTGAGCTCCACTATTTTTAACACTGACCAATGTCACTGTATTACGGTGGAGCTCATTTGACACGTGATGCTCCACCATTGGACTCCAAACACAAACTACATTAGGACTCATGATGTAATATTTTCTCGATATAAACCGATAGTGGGCCCCACAAATCCCACTATTCCACATCCTATCCGAACCGGTTTGAATCAGGCCGGCTTGCCTTTTGTGTGGGTCCAACCGATCCCATTATCTACAATTTTTTTTAATTACTTATTTTAATTTTCTCATCGGCTTTATTTATTCCTTTTTTTTTTATCGGGTTAATTAATCATTTCGTATTTCTATTTACTCGACCGTTTGATTGCCACGTGGCATGTCATAATTGAAATTGACGTATACATTGACCAATTAAATAAAAAAAAAAATCTTTATTGACAATCTTCGTCGTAATGTTTCGTTAATTACCGGAGTCCGAACGCTTAGGCTTTGGGAAAGCCAAAAAAAAATAATAATAATAAAGAATTTTCATTAATGGGAAATTTAATTTATATCGTGACATATATATTCAATATTAAATTATTAAATTTTATATTATTTTTTTTTAAATTTTTTTGTGCATGAGAAAAAATAAGCTCCTCAGACAATCATAAAAAGGATGATCGTCAGACGTTAAGCTATGGAGGTGTGGTGTGTCGCTGACGAGTAAGGACGATTGATTTAGGGCAAAGCGAACCGAAAAACCTAACGACTATGACTGAGGCATGGACTTAACAAAATGATCGACAAATTGTTAGGTCAAGAGATTCGATTGACCATGGGCCGACGCTTGATGTCACACTATCAACTACAAAACTTGTCTGTGCAACTAAAAGATGGGTGTGGATGGTTGAAGCATCTAGAATCACACGGGAGATGAAGGTGAAAGGAGGCCCAATGCTTCACGAAGACATTGCTTCTCAAGTGCTACAGTTAAAAGGAAGCATTTTAGTTGAAATTATATAGGGGTCTCACCCAAGCCCTTTGGCTAGATTTCTTTTTTATTTTAATTGCTACGACGTATCTTTTCATGGGGTCAACTCGTATACATATGAATCATTGTCTAAAAAAAAAGCTCTTGGATTCTGATTCCTCTATTAAGGAATCTCAGTCTAACACTAAGATTTTTTTGGCCTTTTCTCAAGGGGCCCACATTATCTCATATTTTGTGTGTACTCTATTTACTTGGGCGTGATTCAAAGATAAATTTGGGTTCAACTGCATTTTTTTTTATATTTTATATGTTTTATGATTGTGAAATTGTGGAATCTTGATTTATTCGTGAATCACACCTTAAGTAATATAGCATAAGAATTGCGATATAGAGAGAGAGAGAGAGCACTCGATGAAAAGTAAATTGTATCAATCATGTTGTCCTTTCTTGACCTTGTATCTTTCATTCCTTATATATGAAACGATCCATCTATTTATAGAAGCTAGAATACAATATGTGATATTATATTTTTTGCCCCTATTTTAATGAGAGTTCTATAAGGTATTCTAAGTGTTATATATGTATGAGTTTATCACTCTGTTAATCTTTGACTTATTCAATAAACCTTGACTGCTAGGTTTAGTCGGAGTTGCTAGTCGGCTGAGCTCAATTTGCCTCGGGTTGGCATGATTGGTTTGATTGATTGAGTTAGTTCGGCTGCCAACTCTAAACAATAGATAGAGGGAGTTTCTGGACACCCCCGGTGTGATTGGAGATACCAAGGGACTAAATATTCCCTTGAGTCAGCTTCTTCAAGTTGATTGGTTCATATATCTCTTTATCTCGTTGCTGACCGAACAACTCGGATTCGGGTTATTCAATCGCCTTCGTGACTCGATCGGTTTTAGTCTTGCTTGCTTTGTCGTGGACAACAGCTCCTGATCTGATAAATGGGTCTCCTAATCTTTTATTGATGGGCCCTCCTTAGTGGTCCTCTCTTAATTCTGAACCATTATATCTCCTCAAGATCAACACGGATATATTTCCAATGCATACAAATATTTCTATTACTATTTTATTCTATAAAGTTGTGTGGTGCAAATCTAAAAAAGAACGGACTCCACCCGTAATATTTTTTTATATTTAGACCCCTTCTAAAGAACCGGGCTTCTCATTTGCTAGCTGGTGATTCAAGCTCAGTCCGAACTTCTAACTTGGAATTGGTCCGGTTAGACCACTCAATTCTTATGTATTTACGTATCCACCACTTAAATTTTAATTTTCACATGTCACAGTATCTATGCCTGTACATGCATATTTCTTTTTTTTAGTTTAAAATAGGGATATTTTTTATATTTTATGATAAATTTGAGTGGTATAGATGATACTTAGGTATTATTATTTCGTCTATACATGAAAATGTGAATTTTATTTAAAAAAAAATAAAAAATAGTTATATTTTTATATTTAAATACATAGAAATTGGATGGTATTTATGTAAATGCACCTATTATTTTTTAATTGCACTCATGAACACTTATATTTGCCAAGCCTTCCCTCAATCTGAAAAAGGAAGTAGAGAATCACCTCCTTCGGTGCTTCCCAAAGATCCAGTTTTTCTACTTTTTCACCGGCGCAGAAGTTTGATCCGCCGGCGATCTCCTTCGATCTAACGGGCGGAGAATGCCGTCAATGGAGTTGCAGAGCTCTTCCGCAACATTCGCTTCTTTCAGCCGCTCGCTCCTGAACCTCCACCGTGACCTCGACGATCTGCAGCAGGAGCCAGCCGGGTGGATTCAAGAGCAGGGCATTGATGCGTTTCAGCTTCATGTCGCGGAGCTATTCGCGGAGCTTTCTGCCGCTGGAGGAGATGATCTTCTTTCCCTTACCTGGATTCGGAAGCTATTGGACGCTTTCCTCTTTTGCCAGGAGGAATTCCGCTTCATTCTGTTCAACAATCGCCATCTCCTCTCCCGATCTCCAATGGATCGTCTCATCTCCGATTTCTATGATCGCGGCGTCAAAGCCCTGGATCTATGCAACGCCATTCGCGATGGGATCGAGCAGGTCAGGCAATGGGAAAAGCTCATGGAGATTGTTCTTATTGCGTTGGATCCGCGGCAAAGTTTCATTAGTCAGGGCCAAATACGCCGCTCAGAGAAGGCCCTGATTGACCTAGCTTTCTTCATACACGACGAGAAGGAATCCTCATCTGTTACTGTGCAGCGAAACCGTTCGTTTAGTCTGCAACAACGGGCAGCTGGACACTACAGATCATATTCCTGGAGTGTTTCTAGGTCATGGTCGGCAGCCAAGCAGCTGCAGGCTATCGGAAACAATATCTATTTTCCACGTAGCCATGAGGTTGTTGCCACCAGTGGGCTAGCGAATTCAGTTTTCACTATGAATTCATTGCTCCATTTCGTGATGTGGGTTCTGGTTGCTGCAATTCCTTGCCAGGATCGCGGTCTTCAAGCTCATTTCTCAATTCTGAAGAGCTTTCCTTGGGGAGCTTCAGTGATTTCGCTCCATGAGAGGATAATGGAGGAGTCTAAGAAGAGAGAAAGGAAGAAGTCTGTTGGTTTGTTGAAAGAGATTCATCAGCTAGAGAAGTGCACTCTTCGCTTGCTGCAGTTGACAGAATCTGTTGAACAGTTCCCAGAGAGGGAGGAGGAAGAGATGATCAGACAGGCAGTGCTTGGATTCGGTCATGTCTATAATTCAATGAAGGATGATTTAGACCTACTTGAACGACAAATTAGACATGTTTTCCATGAGATTGTGCACAGCCGAATTGATGGGCTTGATTGCTTGCATAAACCGAAATGAGTTTGCTGTTTGGTGCTGTAAATTGATGGTTTCAGCTCGAAAAAGAAGCAACTTTTCAGCAGTAATTTCCTGTACTAGATACAAACAGAGATAAATTGGAGGAAAACAAAACTGGGGAGAAGACAAAGCATTAAGTGAAACATCGCTCCTGCTGTAAGTTTACGAACAGTTTTCTTGTGTTTACAGTGATTGTCGTGAGTAAAAGAGATTTTTTTGTGGGGAAAAAAAAGTTATTTTTAAAATATTTTTTATTGGATTCTTAAAACTTCTATGAGCGTTGTGGATATTTTGTTCGATTAGTTCTGCATTTTTCTTTGTCTTAGAACAAAAAAACGTTATTTTTTAAAATTTTTTATTGGATTCTCAAAACTTCTATGAGCGTTGTGGATATTCTGTTCGATTAGTTCTGCATTTTTCTTTGTCTTAGAAGTGATCGTGTGAATTTAAATTTGCCATCTTTGTAATTTTTCAAGTAAAGGTTGGGTGTATTATTGCCACAAGTTAGTGCAATTTGTTATGCAGAGCTAAATTTCTTATTGTTCTTGAATTTTCTAAACGAGTGAGTGATGCAGTTTTGCAAGAGTCGTTTCACTTTCCTTCATCATTAAGGTATTTAGGATGATTATTAAACATTTATTCTTACTCAGAATTCAATTAATTTTAAAAAAGATTTTAATTTATCATTGCCTAAGATACAGGACGAGCAATGAGACTCCTAGGCCTATGCCTTTGCTTATGTTATTTTTCCAAGATGCGAATTATCTTTTTTTGAGCTTCTTTTGGATACTACATATCTATGATAGCCTTCTACTCTCCACTTTTCCCAACCTCAAATAATTATTTACATATGCCTTTTCATCTTTTACTGTTGCAATTCTCAAAATTGTATTGACTCATAAGCTTGTCTCAATATTAATAGATGAGATATTAAAATGAGCTTATACAATGGGCATAGGTCCATGGAGCAAATCACTTTAATTTCTTTTTCTTCTTGGCTTGTGTTGTTGATAAGTTCTACTTTTAAAGTAGCTTTGAAATAGGTTGTCTTTCTTCTCTTATAGAACTATTGAACATTGTTTTTTTGCCCATTCTCTCCAACTGTCGAGAGATCCAATTGGTCATTTCTCTAGCAATGTATTTAGTAAGATAAGCTCTGGTTTTGAAAAGGGCGAGTTGTTATTGATGATGATAATGCACAGATCCTCCTCTCCTCAATCTTTTTAATAATGGTATGTTTGAACGCTGCCTAAGTGAGCCTCATACAAATCTTTTCGCACTTGCATTCACCACTTAAATGCATGTTAATGCTCAATTTATCGAGATAATGTCCAACTACGTACATTGGCTTCCTCTTACATGGATTGAAGTTATTTAGGAAGGGGTTGTTTTCCCTAATAATGCATGTCATATGTGACATCTTGCAAGCATTTTATCCTTCATTTTTGATATAACAACCCAAATCTCACTCATCAAGACATTGTTCGCTTTGGCCTAGTGGCCTCACGGTTTTGCCTCATTGATATAACTTCCCAAGAGGCCTCCTATCCCAGGAATGCTCCATCTAGAGCATGTTTAACTTTGCAGTTTCTACCAAAAATTCCATTATGTTTAACTTTGGAGTTTCAATTGAAATTTCTTTGTTTCACTAAAATGTGTCTCTATGTTTAAGAGCTCGGCTTCAATCTATTTACTGGGTTCACAATCTCCCTCACTTGACTACCTAACATCTTTGTCAGTACTCTTTATCTGAAATCATCCACCAGACATATGAGATTCTAGCGGTGGCCCCTATAGATTCAAGAGGTGTCTCCTACCATGTAACACTTCATCTCATCTTTGGTTCAAGTGGTGGCTCCTATGGCCTAAGACTTTGGTCCGTATGTCACTTACTTCCCATCTTTCAGTTAGTGTAATGTTCTGATACCATTGGTAATTGCCTAAACTCTCTGTCGTCAAAATATTGTCTGCTTTGGCCTAGTGACCTCACTGTCTTACCTCATTGGTGTAACTTCTTAGGAGGCCACCCATCCCAAGAGTGCACATAGCTTTGGAGTTTCTATTGAAATTCCACTGTTAGATCAAAAGACGCCTCGATGTTTAAGAGTTCGACTTCAATCTACATGAGGGGTTTGACACTTGAGAAGTTGACCTGGGTGAATCCTCAAGCTCAAAGCCCTATAGTTCTACTATAAGGACACCATTGACCCTATGAAGCGCCTACATTTGTTTGATAATGTCACTTCTCTTTATAACATCATTAGCATCATAGACTATATTTCTTGTAATATTGTTTCATGCTTTTGTTTTGATACTTCTTAATTTCATCTACTAAAGGAATTGTCTTATATCTTCATTGTACTACTTTTAGTCCCTTGATTGTCCATAAGGACTTCATAGACTCTTTTCCATCAAAAAGAAAATTTGCATAGAAAAAAGAGTCAGAAGAACCTTTGAGAGTATCTTTCTTGCTTTATTTATGCCTCGCACAAAATTATGTAGTACAACCCATCAATTATCTTTTCTATTTGTGCCATCAAATCCTCAATCTTTAATGGACTCGTCGCTCATGCAAGCTTTTAGGATTACAACTTCATATTAAAACATGATATTCTAAATAGCACACAACTACTAAGTGCATCTTAAACTACTTTGGTGTAAAAATAAAAGCATTCAAAAGGTGTAGTATGCTTCATTCATCCATTTAAAATATTTGATAAAAATAATAATCATATATTTTTCACAAGCATAATATAAATCATAGGTATAAGATAATTAAACAAGTGCTTTATACATGCACATTGAACCCAATAATTCTCCATTCACTATAAAAAATATGTGGACCTTGAAATTGACTTGAGTGTCTAATGAGACCTTTGTCTACTATTCATTAAATGTCGGATAACCCATATATTATTTGATTTAATTTCTTAAAAAAATACACAAGCTTTGATAAACTTTTCCTTTGTAGATGTCCCCTTGCATTGGCTATGAGTAGAAGCATACGTGGCATCTTTTAATGATGTAATTTCCACAATGATGATTTTGAACTATTATAGAATGTAAAAAATACAATAATAATTAAAGCATTCTCATCATAGATTAAGCATATGATTCCAACAAACTTATTATTGAACTGATTGTCTTACTAACATGAACCCAGCAACAATAAAAATGCTTCAATTGAAGTCCAAATGAGCTCAAATCAAACACTTGAATTGTTATCGAAAACTTCAAGATATTCATTGACGAACCAAACAAACTCAAATTTTTGCATGCTTACAGTTAATACACTAAGAGTTTTAAATTCTGACATCATTAAGACGTACAATTTCTAGAAACAAAATTAATAATCAAACGAATTAATGATGGTTTTCCATAAATATATTTTTAATTTTTACTTAATTTTTCAAAATGCCACTAAGAAATTATAAAAGACTTTATATAAATATTACTTAGCCTCAAGAGAAGAGAGCTTTGAGATATGAAATGCTCTAATTGAGATATGAAATGCTCTAAAGCTTTGTTTGATTTGATGTCAATAGTCACCATTCTACTATTATTATCCAACTACAATTGCTCTATTGCCTTTGCTCAGTTATTGTCACTCATTTGCTATCATTCTATTGCTATTGCCTGACTAGTATCTCCTATCTACCATTATTCAAATGGCATCGCTCAACTGTTGTCAGCCTACAACTTTCATCATCCTTCAATAATTCTTCAACATTATTTATAATATTTTACAAAAAGTTAAACTCGTGAACTTATATTTTTAGAGATATAATCATTACATATCACCTAACTCTTGTGTATGTACATGTCTAGCACATAAATATACCTATTGTCATGCATATTATTCAAGCCTTTAACATATATGAAAAAGTACCTCCATTATTATCTTTTTAAAAGTGAAAAACATATTTTCATGCATAGATTTATGACATCAAAATATTATAATTATAAATATTGATGTGTCATTAAGAAATTTTATCATTGGACATGAATCTCAATGTTTTTTTGAGTAATAAATATTTTGGATTCGAATTAAAGGTTATCGAGAGCCTCCATTTCAACAAGTTTTTAGTGTAACTAACAATCTTGACATGTTGAATCCGGTGACACAAAAATTGGTCTAATCCGAGTCTAATCAAGTCTAGATCATGACATTAAAACATATTTGGAGGCTTCAATTGGATTATTGGATGGTCAAATGAATTTGATATACTTATAGTTAATCGAGTACCTTAATGAGATGAAGCCTAATGTCGCTTAATTTTGAGATCATTAAGACCCTCAAATCATTAGAAAAACATATATGATCAAGTGAATCAATACAGGTCGTCAGATCAGATGATTGTAGAAGTTGTTATGTACAAAATGACCAAAATATCTCTCCATGGAGGTAATAAATAAACCCCCATCTTTACTTTAGTAGGGTTGCAAGGTGGCAGAATGAGAAGAATTTCAATGTTTTTCTGGACTGAAAACTTAACGATAACTTCTGGCCTCTGTAATTGTCGATCATTGTTCACCTCCACCCTTGCTCATCGTCGTCAGGCAATCCTATTTGTGTCCTCATATCAGAAATACAATCGTAATGCATAACACCGTATTGCAGATTCAATGATAACTTTTGGCGACTTACGAAACTTTCTGTACGCCATATACAGACAAGTGCTATAACTTGTGTAAAATTGTAAGTCTATTCTTCCAATTGCGATTATGCCTTTGTAATTACACATTGATGGTAGATTACATTAATTCGGTAAAACTTTGATATGTTTTTTTTGGATTTTCTCATATAAAAATTTCTTGTCTTCTAGTATTTCTAACACATAACAACTAACAAATAGGAACATTAAATTTTGATTATTAGATATATAAATACATAAGTATTATGTAGTATGTATGTAAATTTCTCCAAAAAAAAAAAAAATTATTATTTTAAATTGCTCATTTGGGAGAGCCCCATTTCACTCGTGGGAAAAGCTCGGTCATCGTTTCAAGAGAACCAGCTTCCAGACACCACGAGCAAAGCGCGTCCTGGCTCGAGGGTTTTAGCTCTGCTCCGGTAGGGTTTAACATTTTCCCGCCGGCGTCTTTCCCGAGCTTCGGTCTACCTCGCCGGCGAAACAATTCACTTTCGCTGTCTTTTCTGTTTCACGATTGATTTCGTATAACCCATTCTCTTCTCGTTATGAAAAACGTAGTTTCACCAACCCTTATGCTCAAGCTCTCCCGCTCTTCCTTTTATCGCC